CAATCTATGTATAATTAGCACTTACTTCAAAGTGAAAACATTTGACTTTTGACAATTACTCAAATTAAAAGTATGTTTAAAAGGAAACCTGAGCATAGGCACATCAGTCTTACTTGACAACCTCAACAGAACTAGTGCTCTGTATCCTCTGCCTTAAAAATTTTTTATTTGCCAAATTTATTTCAATAAATTTGTCATTGCTAATCATGTCTTCTCTTACAGGCCCATTTCTTATTGCAGGTCATTCCCAGGCTAAGTATTTCCATCAGTATTTATCTTTGTCTAATGTTGATGTTTTGTCTTTTTCAGGATTTCAGGTCCATCAGATGTTTGAGAAGATGAAACCCACCGTCCACAGGTATCCAGTGGTTGTGCTGCATCTTGGTGCCAACGACCTTTCCCGTGGTTTATCTGTGAGGACCATGCTGAGGGAGTTCCAGGCCCTGACCAGCAGCATATGGACGACCAACCCATCTGCCCACATCCTCCTGTCCGGTGTGCTTCCGAGAGCCGAGAACAACTTTCCAGGGGCCTTGCCAAGACCTGACTTCCTGATGGACTTCAACGCGAGGGCCAGCCAGCTCAACCGACACCTAGCATTCCTGTCTACAAGATTCCATCAACTACATTATGTTGGCCACCCTTCGTTCGTGCAGCATGGGGAGATTGAACGACATCTACTCAGCAGAGATGGACTTCACCTGAGCAGAAAGGGGACCGCCACCGTCATCCGAAACATCGAGAGGGCCATTCAGCACCTGGACGTCACCTCACCACCAGCCTCACCACCTGCATCACCACCTGCATCACCACCAGCCTCACCACCTGCATCACCACCAGCCTCACCACCAGCATCTCCAGAATCACCATACAGGACAGCTCTACTCTCATCACCAATTGTGAAGACACCAACCACCGAGACACCTACCCTGACCATCAGCAAGGAAGAGGATTGGCCGCTGCTACCCACAGCTCGGCCATCAGGTTCTATCTTGTCTTGTTTTTCACCTCCTCCTCACACCTCATCTCCTCCCTCACCTCCTCCTCGCACTGCATCTGCTCCCTCTCCTCCTCCTCGCACTGCATCTGCTCCCTCTCCTCCTCCTCGCACTGCATCTCCTCCCTCTCCTCCTCCTCGCACTGCTTCTCCTCCCTCTCCTCCTCCTCGCACTGCATCTGCTCCCTCTCCTCCTCCTCGCACTGCATCTGCTCCCTCTCCTCCTCCTCGCACTGCATCTGCTCCCTCACCTCCTCCTCGCACTGCATCTCCTCCCTCACCTCCTCCTCGCACCGCATCTCCTCCCTCTCCTCCTCCTCGCACTGCATCTGCTCCCTCACCTCCTCCTCGCACCGCATCTCCTCCCTCTCCTCCTCCTTGCACTGCTTCTCCTCACTCAGCATCTCCTCCTCCTGTCACAGCATCTATTAAACATCCAACTGCAAGCTCCTCTCCTGTTCCAAATCCAAATCCCAGCTCTCCCATCTACTTCAAGGGAGAGCACCATATCCTCTCAAACTTCTATCCATGTGTTCTAATGTACCAGGGTCTTATATTTCAGAGTTCGGAACATTTGTATCAATACTTAAAAGCTGTCGAGCACTCTGACCCCTATTTGGCAAACCAAATTCAAAACGCTCCGACAGCTAAAATAAGTAAACAAATTTCAAAACTTGTAAATACCACCTCTCATTGGCATTCAATCAAAAACAAAATTATGCTAAAAGTTTTGGCTATTAAATTCAACCAATGTGCTGAGTTCAAAAAATACCTTCTCAGCACAAACAAAAGGGTACTGATGCATAATGTTGCGGACTCATATTGGGGCACTGGTTGCAATGGCAAAGGTAAAAACATTCAAGGTAAACTCCTAATGCATTTTAGGCATAAAATGGCCAATGCATCCAGTGCTCCATCAGTAAGTTCCCCTACAGTTCCAGCACCCATCACAACAGCAGCTTCATCAATTCCTCACCCTGTATCCGTACCAAGTCCTCCAGCAGCTCCTTCAACTATTTCCCCAATTACAATGCACCCTGTACCTGTCCAAGTTCCTGCATCAGCTTCGTCAATTCCAGCGCCCATCCCTACTGCAGCTTCACCAATTCCTCCTGCTTCAGCTCCGTCAATTGCACCAGCTACAAGCCATCATGTACCCACCCTGAGTCCTTCAGCAGCTCCCTTAATTACTCTCCCAACAGCTCCTACAACAGCTTCCTCTGTAGAAACCCCTACATCTCCTCAGTCACCTGGTCCATCTATTACTTATTCAGAAAGAATTGCGGTAATTGGGCAAAATCATGTGCTAGAAGTAGGGAATAGTGTAGCAAATGGTTCTGTGAATTTTAAGTTGCCAAATAATTATTGCGTTCAATTTTTTAGTGACATAGATACTACAACAAAAAGCTTTATTTATAGTCAATCTTTCGGAAGAGCAGTTGAATTTTGTCCAACAAAAGTGTTTCTACAAGTGGGAGAAAAAGATATAAATTCATCTTCTGTGTCAGAAATAGTGTTAGGAATCCAAAACATTATTGAAAAACTGTTAAGAAATGACGCGGTTCAAAAAATATTTATTGGAAGTCTGTTTAGGCAAATGATTTGTGGAACCATGGATCCAGGAAAGTACAATTCTACGGTTTTTGACATAAATAACACACTACGAAGGAAATATGGAAATTCTCAGAATGTGATATTTTGGAGATGTAGGGGTTTAATGAATTCAAATAAAAACATTTGGCATGTCAATGGGATTAGTTTGAACAGAGAGGCAATGGAAATTTTTAGTCGACAGATTCAACTGGCAATGAAATGTAAAATTACATAAAATACCTATGCTTGGAGATGATAAAAGATTTTCAGTTCACTTTCAACCACTCAATTCTTTCATAGTTAAAATTCAATAAAAACTGTTATTTTATTTTGTGGTTTTTTTTTTTTTTTTTACTTTACTTTTTTTTTTTTAAAAAATTTTTTTAAATCATATTTGTTTTAATTTAAAGACAATTAAAAATATAAACAACTGATGTGAAATATTCTAAAAATCTGATTTTTTTTCTAAAAAAAGAACTTAGAAAGGATACTTTGAAATAAACTATTTATATACAGTGTATTTGAAACTTGATATTTGAAAATTGATATTAATTTACTAATTTCTTTCCAGGTTTCAGTGTTTTCATACTTTAACATTTAAGTAATTATTACTTTCATTTTTAATTATTATTGTTGCTTTGGACTCTAAATTCAGACTTTCTCTAAAATCTTAAAAACTTAAATTATGGCTCTACAAAAAAGGAGGCCTCCACGTGGCTAGAGCTGGTAACATTGGGATAATATGAATTAAAATACACAAATTCATATTATCTTAATGGCTAACGTCCTTAATTTTTTTTAAATATGTATTACATAATATTTTCTACATATCTTGCATAAAAAACATTTTAAAATTAAAATAAATTATTTTAACTTTATCTATACGATGATAAACAGCAGCTCGCTTCGAATTTAGATCGGGCGTGGTGTACGGTAAAACAGTATTAGCGCCCGATTTCTGTCGACTCGGAGGTAAGATTGGCTATAAAAGTTTACGGATATCAATATAAGTCATTTAAACATCACCTTAGGGTTTTATGTACCCTAAATCATTCAATTTTATGGGGCTTCTACCACTTTATTGGGGCTTCTACCCTCCTGTATGGGTATTCTCCAAAAAACGTGGGGCTTCTGGAATTTCCAGTCACCCAATGATCATGCATAAATCTCCTTTTTATGTCACATTGGTTTGGTGACGAGTGGGTTCGCCCCAATTACACGTTCACTCCGAGTGGTTTCGCGGTGTGTGGTTTCACCCCGTTTAAACTACAGGTAATAAATTTAATAATTTATGACTATATATGTATATTGAATAGGGTTACTTTCAAAACAACGAAATTAAATACTCACAAAACTATTTTAGATGGCAAATCAAGGAAATTTTATCTTTAACACAGCAGTAATATTATAATTAAATAACATTCAATAAATTATCTGATATAGAATGAAATAGATAAATAAACAAATAAACAGGGCCTAAATAAATAAATTTATTCAATAATCCCCTATAATTTTTTAGTTTAACAAAAAAAATTCTTACAGTTTATTGATGGATACATCAATGGATACAGCTACATGTAGCCATTGTTAAAAAAAAAAAATGGTCAGTATATTGAATAAAACTTTCGTATATAACATGTAAAAAGCACGAAGGCCCTTTCATCCTTAATTTTTACTAAGTTGCTCATCATTACCCATCAAGCAGACATTAATCAATTATGTTAATATTATGGGTAAACCTAATCGGGGCGAATCCACTCAGCGCGAACAAGTAAAAGGGGTGAAACCACTCAGAGTGAACAAGGAATCGGGGTGAAACCCCCCGCATTCCATTGGTTTGTGTGTATGCAATTTACCTTATTGATAAATGTGTTTACCAATTTGTTATTTCAAATTTTTATTTGAGCGAAGATGGTCATAAATGTATTAATAATGACTCCAATGAACAATTAGGCTTGGAATAGAAAGCCTTAGAAAAAAATAAATGTTTATTATGTGTGATTTCAATCTCCTGTGACATGCAGAGAGCTCAGTTGGTAGAGCATTTGACTGGAAATTCAGCGGCCTATATTCGAATCTCGGTTTGGTCTGCTGCATTTTTCTCCTCTCCTGTTACGTTTGGTGCCGTGCCATGCCTTGGAACTAACAGGTGAAAGACCTGCCAGGGATGAGCCTGGATTGGTATCTTCTGAGGCTGAAGACCTTAAAGGAGGGAGGAATGTGGCGGTCAGATGGATTTCGATCTCCAGTGGCCAGATAGTACAGTTGGTAGAGCACCTGACTGGAGATTCAGTGGTTGGGTCATCTGCATTTCTTTTCCAGAATTGTTAAACATTTGATGCCATTATTTATATTCCTAGACCATGACCCTCTGTAATAAAATCTAACATATCTCGGATTTTATTTTTAGGACTAATTTACCAAAAGAGGTCATGGCTTTCCCACACTTTCCTTTCAAAACTTCTTTGCCTTCATATATAACACACGAGTCTGTGTTAGAGTACCTGAAAAGTTACACCGACCACTACAACCTTCATAAACACATCAAGGTAAGTCAACATTCTACAGGCTTTGAAATCTACCCTACACAATAAATGTATATCATGTAGATTTAGAAATCTACCCTACACACGAACTGTGTATTGTATAAACTTAGAAATCTACTCACACAATAAAGGATAGAAATCACTCTACACAATAGATGTAAATTGTATAAGTCTAGAAATCTACTCTACACAATAGATGTATATTGTATAGGTCTAGAAATCTACTCTACACAATAGATGTATATTGTATAGGTCTAGAAATCTACTCTACACAATAGATGTATATTGTATAGGTCTAGAAATCTACCGGTCACAATAGATGTATATTGTATAGGTCTAGAAATCCCTCTACACAATAGATGTATATTGTATAGGTCTAGAAATCTACTCTACACAATAGATGTATATTGTATAGGTCTAGAAATCTACCATTCACAATAGATGTATATTGTATAGGTCAAGAAATCAACTCTACACAATAGATGTATATTGTATAGGTCAAGAAATCTACCCTACACAATAGATGTATATTGTATAGGTCTAGAAATCTACTCTACACAATAGATGTATATTGTATAGGTCTAGAAATCTACTCTACAGAATAGATGTATATTGTATAGGTCTAGAAATCTACCATTCACAATAGATGTATATTGTATAGGTCAAGAAATCTACCATTCACAATAGATGTATATTGTATAGGTCTAGAAATCCCTCTACACAATAGATGTATATTGTACAGGTCTAGAAATCCCTCTACACAATAGATGTATATTGTATAGGTCTAGAAATCTACTCTACAGAATAGATGTATATTTTATAGGTCTAGAAATCCCTCTACACAATAGATGTATATTTTATAGGTCTAAAAATCCCTCTACACAATAGATGTATATTGTATAGGTCTAGAAATCCCGATACACAATAGATGTATATTGTATAGGTCTTGAAATTTACCCTACACAATAGATGTATATTGTATAGGTCTAGAAATCTACTCTACACAATAGATTTATATTTTATAGGTCTAGAAATCAACTCTACACAATAGATGTATATTGTATAGGTCTAGAAATCTACTGTAACAATAGATGTATATTGTAAAGGTCTAGATATCTACTCTACACAATAGATGTATATTGTATCCCTCTACACAATAGATGTATATTGTATAGGTCTAGAAATCTACTCTACACAATAGATGTATATTGTATAGGTCTAGAAATCTACCCTTCACAATTGATGTATATTGTATAGGTCTAGAAATCCCTCTACACAATAGATGTATATTGTATAGGTCTAGAAATCTACTCTACACAATAGATGTATATTGTATAGGTCTAGAAATCTACCATTCACAATAGATGTATATTGTATAGGTCAAGAAATCTACCATTCACAATAGATGTATATTGTATAGGTCTAGAAATCCCTCTACACAATAGATGTATATTGTACAGGTCTAGAAATCCCTCTACACAATAGATGTATATTGTATAGGTCTAGAAATCTACTCTACAGAATAGATGTATATTTTATAGGTCTAGAAATCCCTCTACACAATAGATGTATATTGTATAGGTCTAGAAATCCCTCTACACAATAGATGAGTATTGTATAGGTCTAGATGAGTATATTGTATAGGTCTAGAAATCTACTCTACACAATAGATGTATATTGTATAGTTCTAGAAATTTACCCTACACAATAGATGTATATTGTATAGGTCTAGAAATCCCTCTACACAATAGATGTATATTGTATAGGTCTAGAAATCTACCGTTCACAATAGATGTATATTATATAGGTCTAGAAATCTACCCTACACAATAGATGTATATTGTATAGGTCTAGAAATCTACCTTACACAATGTATAATATCATATAGGCATAGAAATCTACCCTACACAATAAAGGATAGAAATCTTTCTTACACAAGAAATTAATATTATACAGGATAGAAAACTACCCTACACACACAATAGATATTTATTGTATAGGTTTAGAAATCTACCCTTCATAATAGATGTGTCCATCTTCACTAGCCAAGGGTTTTCAGCCAAGCCAAAATTTACACTAGATTTTGGATCGGACACCCTTGGCTAGCAAGGATGATGTGTATCATATAGACTAAGAAATGTACCTTGTATATTGTATGGGCAATAGATGCACATGTAAATCATACATACTAAATATCTACCCTACACAATTTATCATCCTACACAATATATCATAGAGACTTAGAGGACAAATTCACAGTGCACCTGATTAAGTGTATCTTTATATAACAGAGGCTTTACATCTACTATACCCAAGATTAGGTGTATCCTAGAGGCTCTGAATTCTACCATATGTCAGGTTAGATGTATCTAATAGACTTGGAAATATAACATGCAGAAGATTAGGTGTATCCCAAAACCTTTTAAAAATCTGACATACACATTACTACAATTCAATCATATTCAAAATAACATGTCTATTGCAATAATATTTAATTATTATGACAGCTGAATACAATGGTAACCACTGTGAAATCAAGACCATGTGATGGAGACAAGGAATTCTGGGATATATCGTACTGTGCTGTAGACGATCAGAGCAATGTTCACAGAGAAGAGTTTGATGCTGTTATGGTGTGTAATGGGTAAGCTTATTTCATTATTATACCCCCGCAAACGAAGTTTAGGGGGGTATATTGGAATCACCATGTCTGTCTGTCCGTCTGTCTGTAGACAAGATTTTGTCCGGACCGTTTCTCAGAAACTATTGGATGGATTTGTCTGAAAATTTGTACACTTATTATTCACCATATGAAGGTGTGCACCTGGTATTTTCATCATGATTGGATGATTTTTCTGCATTTTACAGGCATTTTTTCTTCTTTATTTTGTTGTTTTGTTTGGCTCATAACTAGAAAACTATTAGACTTACAATCATCAAACTTGGCCAATTTATGCATCTTGGGTAGAAGGTGTGTCATGACCTATTTCAAGGTCACTGTGACCTTTAATTAAAGTGAAATTTAAAAAAATAACTGTCTTTTACTATTGAATTAAACAATCCCAAAAAATGTAAGAATGTTGCAGTATCCCTATTTAAAACATGTTAAATTAAGAAAATATTTTTTTTATTATATACTTTACAGCAATCCATAACAAATGTTATTTTATAAGAGAAAATCTACCTCTCCCAAGGGTATAATTATGAAGCACTGGTCAAGGAGAATTTTGATAACAGAAAATTGCATGTCAAATTAGAGAGAAATTAATTAGTGTAGTGTAAGGGGCTACTTTGTAGAACATTTCTGATCAAGAACTTGTTATCTGTCTCTTGGGAACTGGGCTAAGGAATCAGCCTTAAATAGTTAAACCGGCCTTAAGATCCATTCATCCCTTGATAGCAATTAGTGGGCATGCATCCAGTCAAAGATTAATTAATGAGTTCTATGTAGGGAAGCTTAAGCTGTCTCAATCATTTATGTTAGAGCATATCTCTGATCAAGGAGCTCTTATCTGTGTCCTTTGGGAATTAGACAGAAGAACTGCTGGTCAGTTTAAATAGCATTTGTCATTTGATGGCCAGTCTCCTATTTCTAAAATCAATTTGGTATAGATCAAGTTTTTAAGACATATTAGTTAAATTGATATATTTTTTTATTGTTGAAAATATCAAGTGACCAATTTCAGATCATCATGTCCCACATGAAAGACATGTGCATATGTGTATGTTTGTGGAGGAGGGGCATTTGTCAAGCTATAATGCAACCAGTTGATGATTATTTGTTATAATTAAAGCTTGCACCACAGGAGATGTTTAAACAATTATTATAAGGAATGGAAAAATCCCCTTAAAGGTTGACATGATTTTCTTGCACTCTAAACTGTTTATAATAATTGAATGAACAATATTTGATGGGAGTATCATGCTGAGGCTGACTGCACTTTATTATTTTTAAAATGAATTTGATATAAATTTATATAGATTAATTTGATTCTGTATAATGTTTTTTTCAACAATCAATTTGCAGAGTACCATGACAAATAGTTGCAATTTATTTTTTCAATGAAATAAAAAAAAATATTACAATGTATTAGTTTTGATGTTTTATTTGGTTGCACCTCAGTTTCATTAATAAAAAAAAAATATAATGAGCACTCAAATTGTTTCTAAGAAAATAGTGAACACCTCTTAATAGATCCATAAATATTTGTAAATTTGCACCTACTCTGAAAAATCCAGCGGGGGTATTTGTCCCTATTGGACAGTTCTAGTCCTAACATTAAATATGATAAGCTAAAGCTAAAGATGTCACACCTAACAAACAAACGCTCACACATGGACATTCACACATGACAAAACAAATGTAATCACACATAATAGAAAAAAATAAAACATTACATGTACTTACACTAGTTACATAAGCAACAAAAAAAGCAATTTTATACAAAGTATGGAGCACTTCCCTCTTTAGCATATTAAAAGAATGAATAGAATTGAACACAGACATAAATAGGAAAAAAATAAGTAGTTGATACAGTGTTATTCAGTTAATAAGAGAGAGATTAAGCAAACTAACGTACATGCACATTATACCAAGGATTTGCCTATACATGTACATATTATACATCTCTAAAACAATGAAATCATGTACAAGTAATTTGAACTTGAATTTTACACATGTTATAAGTAGGTCTGCTATACCTCTTTTACATATAATGTACATTATCTACTTTTCAAATTACAGTATACTAAAGTATATATTTTATTTTATATTTCAGGCATTATTCCCTCCCTTTGTATCCCACAATTCCTGGCATGGAAAGCTTTCAGGGTCAGGTGATCCACAGCCATAACTACAGGAGTCCTGAGATGTTCCGGGACAAAAGAGTGGTGTGTCTGGGAGCTGCAGCGTCAGGACAGGATATCGCCATCGATGTCTCGCGGGAAGCCAAAATGGTACGCTTCAGAATGTGTAATTATAAATTACCGGTATTTTTTAAATACATGTAAATAACTAGAGTTACATGTATTTGTAGTCTGTGTGTGCTGTTTTTTTAATTCTAAAGCAATAATATTGTTTATCTCAATGAAAAATTAATATTCAGAATTACTGTGCCTTCAGTTTGTTTAATATTTGCATGAAAGTGTTACATTTAATATAAAAATCTTTATCTTGACATTTAAATGGCTCTCATTATTAGCCTCAAGACCTGAAATAAGGGATGTTTTTCTAGGTTACACTTCTACACAAGGTGATAATTAATTGGCAATTGATCATGTTGTTTTCTGTCTGCTCTAGTTAACATTTAACCTTGAAAACTCAAACTCTTGACCTCTCGAAGCTTTTTCTCTTTCCCGCAGACTTCCAAGCATCAAGAGTTACCTGAAGAGAGTTACTCCTTAATAACGACGTTCGATCCTGATATTTAAAGTCTTAAACTTTTTTTGCCAAGTATATTTTCAGTTTCTACCTACATAGCTTAATTAAAATTCAAATCAAAAAATTAAAGCTTTTGGCACTTTTTATGACCTTATTGCACTGAAATTTATTGCACTGAAATTTATTGCACTGAAATTTATTGAAATTTATTGAAATTTATTTATTGAAATTTATTACTTGAATGGAATTTAATCGCGGTTTTTTTCATTGAATATAGTTAAATTTGCACTGTAGAATTCAGATTTAATGTAAGAACTTATAAATGATGCAGAATTTTAGAAATACAGGACCTGACCAAAATACTCTCAAAATCTCAGGATCGAAGATCGAACGTCCTTAAAGCCACTTTTTAGCTCACATGAGCCGAACCACTGGGCCAATTTTAACCAAGCTTGGTACAAAGCATCCTTGGATGAAGGGTAGTTGAAATTGTTGAAATGAAGGGCCAAATCCCCTCACAAGGGGAGATAATCAAGAAAAGACAAAAAATAAGGTGGAGTCATTAAAAATTCTTCTTAAGAACCACTGGGCCAATTAAACTTATGTGGAAGCATTCTGGGGTAGTGTAGATTCTAAATTATTCAAATCATGACCCCTTGGGTTGGGCGGGGCGAAAATAGGGAATCAAAGTTTTACTTAGAATTATATAGGAAAAATCTTTAAAAATCTTCTTCTCAAGAACCTCTGGGCCAGAAAAGCTGAAACTTATGTGGAAGCATCCTGGGGTAGTGTAGATTCTAAATATTCAAATTATGACCCATGGGGTAGGTTGGGGTCACAACAGGTATTACAAAGGGGAAATCTGGTAAAGAACAGCATGGTCAAAGCTACTCAGGTGAGCGATGTGGCCCATGGGCCTCTTATTTTTATGATCATGATCTTAACTTTGTTAAAAACCCTTTTTTTTATTTTATGTTCCACCATTTATTAAGTGTGAGGAGTTGTCATTTTACAGGTGTGCTTGAGCCACAATAAACCTCCCCTACAGACCTATCTCCCAGACAATGTACAACAAAAGCCAGGGATTCGGGAGTTAGGGGCTAATTCTGTCACATTTAACAACGGTGACGAGGTCCAGATTGACGTCCTTCTCCTGTGTACAGGATATCACTATCACTTCCCCTTCCTCTCTGCGGACTGTCAGGTCCAGATCTCAGATGAGAGAATCACCCCACTGTACAAGCATTTAATCCACATCGATCACCCCACTATGGCTTTCATAGGAATTCCTAAGACAATCTGTCCATTTCCACAATTTGATGTTCAAGTGCGATTCTTTTTGTCTTCTTTATCGGGAAAATTCAAACTTCCGTCAGGAGAAGAGATGAGGCGGGATACGGAGAGTGATTTTGAGAGGAGGTTGGCTGTGGGATTCCCCCCGCGGTATGCCCATGTCCTTGGGCCCAGACAGTGGGAATATAACGACGAGCTAGCTGAGTTAGCGGGGGTGGAGCTCATTCCCAGGGTTGTCCAGAATCTTTATGACTATGTCCATGAGACCAGAGTTAAAGACATTGTACACTACAAAGACATAAACTATAAACTTGTTGATTCTGAAACTTTTAGAAATTCAGTAAAGGAGTCCTGATTCCTGAAGAGAATAAAATTGGAAAATTCAGAAGTCTATTACTGTTAAGTGTTAATGACTTTTTAATAAAATTTTGTTTTTAGTCTTATACAAAGAACTGGGAAGTCCCTGTATTGTTTTACTGTCTACCTCCAGCTCAGGTTTCAAGTGTACATGTATTATATTTGAATGATTTTTAATAACCCCCACAAATAAAGTTTTTATTTGATGGGGGTATGTAGGACTCAACTAGTCTGTCTGTCTGTCCATCTATCTGTCTGTGCAATTTTGTCCAGGCCTAAAACTTTGTAATTGAGAATCACTGGAAGCTCATACTTAAAAAAAAGAATAAGAAATTAAATCAGGTGGTCCACACTCTCTTTGTACACACTGTATTGCCTTTGATTGTCTTTGTACACACTGTATTGCCTTTGATTGTTTTTAATTTATTAAGTAAAAGTATTTAATGTTATTGTTTTCATGGATGTCTGAACCATAGGCACTCCCTAACTAATTTCTTAAAATGATGTAATGATGTCTACACAGGTCTATTTCATAGTGTGCAATGGTAGACCTATATCGAAAGCACTGAATTAAAAATATAAATAAGGAAGAGCTGAAACATTTATCTGGTGTGGGATATTCATTTTTAATTTAAAAATGGAATTGCATTGTTATTTACAGTATGTATTGTTAAATCTAAATAAAAGTGGATAAAAAAAAGAATTTTCTTAATTGTGTTTTGCCCTGGCTAAGAATTTATTAAAAGAACCTCATATTTTTAATATGATTTGTTGGCAGTCTTATCCGACCTTCACTAGCTCCTTTTGATTTTGATTGCTGTATAAAGGAGTGGGGTACAATATTTTACTCAAGCTTAACATAGGAATAGGTAGAGAAAATCTGTTGATAAAGAAAAGCAAGGACAAAGTTACTCTATGTGAGCGTTGTTGCCTATGGGCATATTGTTATTACAATTGTACTCAAAATCAATAAAGTGAATAAAGTTAAATTACCGTCCAGGTTAATAGCTGAAAAAAATACATTCTACCTTTTTTATTCCGTGACATAGAATAACATGGCATTTCAGGTTTTCTGGATTAGACCAAACTTGAAAAGACCACATTGTTTTTAATCTTGGCCACATTGTTTATCTGAGGAAATTTTTATACATTTATTTAAGTCTTCTTGAATTCAGGATTTTCATATTGTAATTTAAAAAAAATTCTTCAATTCATGTTTAAACTAAAGATACTGTGAGCACTGAGCTCACCAAATGATACCCCAGCCTCCAGAATGATTGTAATGACAAAGTCCATGTTTTGTTCTGGAAGGCTCAAAATAAGTGTCTGATCAAAAAGTAAAATAGGAGATAAACAATTGCATTATCTTATAAAGAATCTATAGAAAGTATCATTGAATTGTTATTCAGTGGTATAGGAGTTGCGGATAAGAGATGGATAACCTGTATGAATTTTAAAGGCGGATTCCGCCTGGAATTTGGGTGGAATTGAATGGCAATATTTAGGCGGAGGCGGAATCAAAGAACATTACAGGCGTCATTTGTAATTTCCGGGCGTCAATTGGCAAGTTCAGATTTTCCGGGCGTAAAATGGCAGGAAAATAGAAACAAAAATTACGCCTGGAACTTTCAGAAGAAGTAAAAGCCTCTGATTGGTCAATTTAATTAATTAAGGGTCATTTCAGATAGGAGGTTAAGTTTGAATTTGATCAGTGAAATAGGAAAGCAGATAGCAATGTTAAGGCTTTTACACTTCTTGAGGATGACCTGCTGGTAGGTGTGATCATGAATATCTAGTACCTATTTGAGTAAATTTGATATGATTAGTACAATGATAGTTATAACTGGTTGACCCTAAAATAACTTAGAGAGTTTGTCCTTGCACACATGAGAAATATCAGTCTGATAGAGGCTGCAGTGAGAATCTAACTGTAAACTGCTGAGTAAATGAAGAATTGTATTCATGCAGTCAGTAACTAAAATGTTTCAATATAATTATTGAAGTGATAAAATGTACAGGTATTGTAAAAAAGTTTAATTCTAAATACACACTCAATCATGGTGGTCGTGTTTTAGTGTCCCTAATGCACAAAATTCATGTTATTTTTCTATACTTGTTAATGATATATGTTAATGACCTGTCATTATGTTTTCTTACAGTTCAAAAAGCTAAATTTTTAGCTTTAACATTGTAAATCATAATCTGAATGTTTTTCTTTGTTAACATGGTAAATATATAGGTTTTTAGGCCATAGTATTATATAATAATAAGGAATTCCATCATTTTAGTTTCCAGGGTAATTTTTTTACGGGCGTCATTTATTTTTCCGGGCGTAGCTCATTTGCATTTTTCGCCTCAAATTCCTGCCCATTTACGCTTGGTTTCCGCCTAAGTTACGCCCGGAACCTGTGTATCACCATATATGTAGAGAGACAAATTGACGCCTCTCCAAGTACGCCTCAATTCCCCCTATATTCCAGGCGGAACATTTCGTACAGGCACCTTCAATATATTTAGAATGAAACATTTAGAGATAATGAACAGTATTCAAGATTAAAAGTTCATAAAACAATACAAAATAGGAGCAGAGCAAGCACGGACCTCCAAAACATCAGAGGTGGGATCAGGTGCCATGGAGGAGTGAGTATCCCCTGCCGACGGGTGACACCTGCTGTGTGCTCCTTGCCATGATCGGGAAAAATCCGTCGTCAATTCAGTGTATAAATAGTGGACACTCAATTAGTATGAATGGCAGTGTCCATTTTTTGCTCTGGGAAACCCAAAATATGTGCCAGATTAAAAAAAAAACGTAAAATAAGAGGTGCTTAATGGCAGTATGTAACAAAGATTCTGTTAAAGTCTCATCTAATTTCATTCATTGGTAAAAGAGAATTTTGCAGATAAGAAATGGGTACCCAGAAGCGTAACAGACTGACGGATGTTCAGACAAACAGAGGGATGGGCATCCCGATCACTACATATCCTCCCACTTTTCAAGCGGGGGGTATAAAACTCAACCATAGAAGAAATTCAATGGGTTGACCTTTCACATGACAGCCAAGTAAACTTGACTCAAACGAGTTGGCTGTTGCCCATGACGCCCTGAGAATAGTCTAGCAGTGAAAGGGTGTTTCCAAAATGATGAATTAATGGGTATGGCACGCCAAATTCACGGAAATGAGCTAAACATAGTTTCACATTTGATATACTACCGTAAACTATAGTTTACAAACCGTGAACTACTGAGTATATTAACAATTCATTAACTATAGTTTTCATCTGTAAAACTATATTTAACGGTTGTGAACTATAGTTTACGAAAGCTAATCTAAGTTTATCTGTCTGTAATAAAACGTTAACAATAGATTTTGTTGATAAACATAGATTCACGTCTGTAAACTATAATTTACAATCTTGAACTGTACTTAAGAGTTGTCAATCATATTTTCACAAATCGTGAACCTATATTTATCAGATCGTTAACTATAGTTAAGAGTTGTAAACCATAGTTCACAAATCATGAAACTGTATTTATCAGATAATCTATGTTTTGCAATCGCAAATGATTGTTTTCAGTGTTAAGTATAGTTTACGGTTCTGAAACATAGATTATCGCGTTAACTATGGTTTACAGATGTAAGATATAGATTAACGTTGTTAACTATAGTTTACAGTCCATAAACTATAGTTTACAACCGATAAACATAGTTTATCGACTGTGAAACTATGTTAAGCTCAATCTTGTGAATTTGGCGTTCCATAAATAGGTTCAATTATATCAAGTAGAGAAATGTGGACTGAGGAATTTTGCTTACTCGTTACTCAATTATTTAAATGAAATAAAAGACTGTTATTTATTTAAATTCACATGCATTAAAGCTTTGAAATTCTTAAATATTTTAATACAAAAATTAATTCAGCGTTATCAAAGAGTTGTAACAAAGAGCAAAAGTTGGCGCTGGTATTGGAATTATTATTCAAATAGAGTGTAGTAATATATAAATATTGCATGTAGTTGAGTGTAACATTTAAAATTTTCACCCCAAGAAAACCATTGTTGACAATGGTTTTCACCCCAAGAAAACCATTGTTGACAATGGTTTTCGAGGGGTGGAAATTTTCAATGTTACACTCAACTACATGCAATATTTATTATATTATACTGAATGTTTTATAAAAATTCATATAACAGTGAACCGTGCGCCCATAAATTCTGCGCAGTCGGCTATTTTTTGGAATATCACCCGTCGTCAAGCACTGTTGACTGTTGCTACGCTGGAGGGCGTGGCTTCATTATTCAGCAGGTAATAGTGTTTTTAAACAAATGTTTCTCGACCAATCAGATTCAACTAATTTACATGAAAGTATAATATTAAATTTTACTTCAAATGTATTTCATAAAATTTAAAAATAGCAGAACTTTTGAAGTATTATATATGTAAAATATGTAGGACTCAATAGTTAATTCTTTTAACATTGTTTAATATTATTTTAATATCTTAATGACTTTTTATTTGAGTGTTAATTAGATTGTATTAATTTTTTGCTCAAACCTCGCTTGCCCACTGTAATAAATTATGACTTCCTTTCAAATGTACATGTAATTAAGAAATAATTGATATTTTCCCTATAATCTAGCCTACATAACCAACCTTCCGTCTGTTCAGATCAATTACTACTTGTGATAAGCTCAGTATGTGGGAAAACCTGAAATAAACTTTCAATGTTAATGTGGGAAGTATAGTTTTCAAACAAAGCTTTCAATACACAATTCACATTTTTAAAGAAAAATAGTTGAAAGTACGTTTAGCTGAAAAAAGAAATTACTTTTTATAGTAATTAAAGGAAGTACTTCGTAATTAAACTGGTTATATCTTGAGTTTCAGAATAATTTCTTCGAAAGATAAAATATAAATGAAAGTTGCATCTTTAAATTTCAAAATGAATTTTTCAATTAAAGTATTCAGTGTAGAAAACGCGGCGTAAAACCTAGATATCTTTCAGTTTTATATATAATAGGGACGATTTGAAATTCCTTACAAAATTATATGATCACGTATATTACGTATAATGTTTCTTATGCTTTGAACGCAGTCTGCCTGTACACATTGTGTTTGAAAATGAAAGAAAGGCTTCCTTGTTCTACAACTTCTAAAGCAAACAGGAAAATTGACTGTGAAATCATATAAAGAAATGTTTTATCCCTTTATATTGTACCTCTTTGTATATAGAGAATATGTGTTTAAATTTTGAAATATTTAGAAAACTACCGGTATCTAATATTTTCCTTATCTTGTTATTTCTGAACTGTTTTCAAAATGTCTTTAAA